TCAGTTTCATTCAATAAACATTGGATTAATATTTGGAGGAAAAAGAGATTAACCTCACAACATAGTTTAAATTTCTGCTTTTAGTTCATCTTTGTTCACTGAGTTGTTGGTCACACTCTGCCTGGCTTTTAAATGCTATTTTTGAATTTAATTTTCTTATGCAGAATAGCTGTGTCATGGCCTTGAAAAGTGGCAGAGGATCAAAAATTTCAGATATAGGTTCCATATATTTTTTAGTGTTAGCAGTTCTTAGATTAACAATGGCTGCTGTATACTTGCTTTTATTAAGAGACCTCAGAGAAATACAATTTTCTTTGCAAAGATGGGTTTACAATAGATTGAACTTTACAATTTCCAACAGATTAACTAGAGGATTAACCAAATCACCGTGCTTTCCCGAAAGTAAGACCTATCCCCAAAATAAGTCCTAGCTTGATTTTTTGGGGGTGGGCCTAACATAAGCCCTACCCAAAAAATAAGCCCTAGTTTGGGGGCGAGGCACATGCCTAAAAATCAAGCTAGGGTGGTGGTGGGGTATATGGAGCTACCCCACGCACCCTGCACCTGCTTACATGGCAGCCAGGTCTCTCTTCACCGGCCCACTTCTTCTGCGGTGAATCCATTGCTCAGTTATCAGCTGCAGTGGCCTTCCGAAAAGGCCTTTGACTGTGAAATGCAGGCTGGAGCTCCATTCTCAGCTGCAGAATGGAGCTGCTCCTTCAGTCGCAGAAAAAATGGGCCAGCTGGGCAGGGCTGTCGGTGCAGGAGGTGAGTGGAAAAGACCCCCCTCCAAAAAAATAAGACCTGGTGCCTCTTTTGGAGGAGGATAATAATAATAATAATAATAATAATAATAATAATAATAATAATAATAATAATAATAATAATAATAATAATAATAATAAAAATAAAAATAAAAAATAGGATGCTGGCAGCAACCCGTGTCAACCATCAGAGCCAGTCAATTTGAATGTTCAGTTTACTGAGGTTCACAGTCTAATGAATAATAATAATAATAAGAGAATGAGAGGGTGAAGATCTTGTGGGACGTTCGAATACAGACAGATCGCCATTTGGAACACAATACGCCGGATATCACAGTTGTAGAGAACCGAAACGTACAGCTGATTGATATCGCTGTACCAGGAGATGCCAGAGTCGAAGAAAAAGAACTGGAAAAAATTATGAAATATCATGATCTAGCCATCGAAACTGCGCAATTATGGATGAAACATGTAACAGTGGTACCCATTGTCATCGGGGCACTGGGAACTATGTCCAAAAACTTTGCAAAATACATCAAGAAACTGCAGCTTCCTGCAATAATTCCAGCAATGTTACAAAAAACTGCGCTACTCGGAACATCTTATATTTTAAGGAGATACCTGGTTGACACCGAGGATGCTGGTAGCAACCCGTGTCAACCATCAGCGCCAGCCAATTTGAATGTTCAGTTGACTGAGGTTCATGTTTAATGAATAAAAGATAATAATAATAATAATAATAATAATAATAATAATAATAATAATAATAATAATAATAATAATAATAATAATAGTACCGAGTCTTATTTTCGGGAAAACACGGTACTGTTCCTCCTCTAAAATCTATGCTT